CAACAACAACAACAACAACAACAACAACAACAACAAAAAAAACTAAAGAAGCCAGCAGCACACTGGCAGCAGCGAAGAGGAAAAACTCCCTGCTAATCAGGAAGAAACCTCCAGCAGAACCAGGCTCAGGACAGGAGACCATCTGCCTCGACCGGCTGGTTGGAGGACAGGAAAGAGACACAGACAAACACAGAAGAACTGGTCCAGGACTGGTCCAGGTGCATCTTCTTCTGGAAGACAAAGAAAAAACATGATAGAAATAATTACAATAAACGTTTAAAGAAGAGAGACTAAAGACAACAGCAGTTTGTGCTCCAGCAGTCTAAGTCTATAGCAGCAGAAATGAAGAATAATTCAGGAAACCTAAGTCTAACTATAGGATTTATCAAAAAGGAAAGTCTTCAGTCTAATCATAAAAGTAGACAGAGTGTCAGCCTCATGGACAGAAAGTTAAGTTCAGGTCATTTACCTTTTATGTTTAGAACCACAAGTATAAAAGCTAATTATAGAATAAAAATTCTGTAACTAATGGACTCATAGTGTCATTTTTCTTTCTGGTCACTTTAGACTCAGAAATAATGAAAAAATAAAATATGACAAAACTTCAGTCTGAGACTTAAGTCCTTCAAAATCAAAATATTGTCCTCAAGTCATATTAATATTTTGAAAAGATTGAACTGCAATACTTCGTGGGTCCTTACAGATCAAATCCCATGCATTTGTCCTCTACTTGCTGATGTTATATTTGATGAGTCCAACAGAATCTCTCTGCCTTTAATGCACACACCTTGTTTAGATGATCATGAGGACAGGAGAGAGAGTGAGGAAAATGTGGGTTTATTATGATTAATATTGTCATCACAATATTAAACAGCAATGATTGGAAGTTTTATTATTTTCTATTTAAGGTCATATCATTTTCCATGTAAGCTGTTTGAACTTCAAGACATGCACGGTTACTTTATAGCAACCAGTTCAGACCAGCTGACAGTATTGTTGGTTTGAAAAGATGACTGGCTAGCCTGGCCCTTGCCTTCCTACGCAGTTCTGCTCAATTTTAGTTTCCCTTCTCTGCTCCATCTGGGACTTCTCCCATAGACAAGGATTTCTTCGGGAGCATTTCATTCAGGCCAATCAGAGAACAGAATGTCGATTTTCTGTGCAGTGTCTGCTAGTTTAGCTATGGCAGTGAATGAAGCCAGTCTGTGTTGATAAGGCTTCCAAATTAAATTAAATTTGTCTGACAAAGCAGCAGCTCTCATTTACAGTCATCTGGTTTGGCTCGGTGCTTCTCTCAGTAGGGTTGTTTACAGCGAACGCGATTTCCGGTTAGCTTCTTAGCTTAGCCTCCTTAACAGTGGAGCTGGAACTTGCGACCAACTGATCCAATCATTTTAAACTTAATCAGAGGCCACGCCTCCAGCAAGAATCGCTTCTCTATAGCCGAGAGTCCAGACCCTCGTACGAAGCAAAGTGAAGGACAAGGGTCTGGTTTTTAGCAGGCTAGTGACTGGGAACTGGATACAGTTTATTTGTATCTAATAATTTGTGCATCAGTTCTTTGCTGGAAACGAAATCTCATCACCAGCTGTCTATTAGAGAGGTGACGTACAACTTCTATGGTTACCGGTCCATCTCTAGGTATGGGTTAGTTTTCAGTTATACAGTAAAAATCACAATTTGTTTTCTCCGTCATGACATTACTGTGGCTTAAACTTCTTTAAATGAGATGACAGACAGTCCAGGGTTGCAGGAAGTGGCACACCCCATTCCCATACATGTTGCTGTGAGCTGTCACTGAAATGTAAAATGGCCAAGAACTCCCTGAAAGGTTTCTCTTTGAAAAAAGATCATTGTTTGCTTTAAAAGGCTTTTACCATCATCAGTCTTTTTAAAGAAAAATACATTTTAAACTATTGTTTACAAATAGCCACATGTCTGTCTACACAGCAGCTTAGTGCAGGTCCACTTACCAGCTAATTTCCTGGCTAGCAGCAGCTGTCAGTGTTGCTTTACAGAGCAGAACAACCAGAGTGAAATAATAAGTTTATATATATATATATATAT